GTGACCCCAGCAGGATTATAAGTGTAGAGCTGGAAGACTGTTAAATCCAACCCCCTTATGTTAACTGGCAGGAAACTTGGGGTCCAGAGAGATGTCCCCCAGGCTGCGTAAATAGTCCTGTCCTGCCTGACTCTATCCCTTCTCCAGCTGGGTAGAGGTTAATAGCCCATGAACTATTCAGGGAGAATTAAACAGAATCAGGAAAGCAGCATATGAGAGGAGCACCCTGCTCTCTGGTCACAGTTTGGTCATTCAGTGACACTGGACAAGCCACTTCTTCTAATTATCATCATAGCTAGCATTTCTATGGAGCTTTCAAAGATGATCTAATTTGACCCTCACAGCAACTCTGGGTGTGTGTGTGTGTGTGTGTGTGTGTGTGTGTGTGTGTGTGTGAGAGAGAGAGAGAGAGAGAGAGAGAGAGAGAGAGAGAGAGAGTGAGAGAGAAAGAGAGAGATTATTATCCCCATTTTACAGATGAGGAAACTGAGGCTGAGAGAAGGTAAGTGACTTGCCTATTCCACAGGTAGTAAGGGTCTGAAGCTAAATTTGAACTCAAGGCTTTGTTCCAGAACCAGAGCTCGGTCTACTGAGCCACGTCCCACCCTGATGCCTTTTTAGGGTCCAGGGTCCTCCTTTATTGCTGCTGTTTGTGCCTTGTTCTCCACAAGGACCGTGACATCAGGGAGGTGATGCCGTGACTTGCAAGTGAATTGGATTTAAGTGAGGCAGGGCTGTGCAAAGGGACCAGCCTCACTTTCTCCTCTAGAGCCATCTGGGTCCAGTGGTAGCATGTAGACTAGGATGACCAGAGATGCCCCCTCCTCCTTTGTAAAATAAGGGGAGGCAGCAGATCAGACTACATCTAAGGGCCCTGCTGTGACATTTTTTGACTCTAAGAAATGCTCATTGAATTGATTTGAAAAGATACTGGGGTGGGGCAGGGGTGGGGTGGGGGGATCAGGTAGGCACTCCTGTGCCTGGGGGGCATAGTCCGTGTTAGTTTTCATTTATACAAGCATGTTAAGGTTTACCAAGCACTTTACTAGCATTATCTCATAGTAGTGTCATGGCAGTCCTGTGAGGTATGTGCCATTATTATCCCCACTTTACAGAGGAGAAAAGTGAGGCTCACCGACGTGGCTGATTCATCTAGGTTCACGCCTGAGGTGGAATTTGAGTCCAGCTATGTCTGACGCCAACTCCAACTGTCTATTCCCCATGAAGGCAGGTCTACCCTTATTGCATGAACATGCTCCAGTCCCTTCACTAAGTCAGTCAACAAGCATTTATTAAGGGCTTTCTAAGTGCCAGGCACTGTGCTCAATGCTGAGGCTACAAAAGACAAAGGTGAGACAATCCCTGCCCTCAAGGGGCTCACATTCTAATGGGGGAGAAAAGTCGCCAGTGACTGATGAGCAAACGAGATATAGATGGGGTAAATGGGGAGTTATCTCAGAGGGAAGGCTAGACTGGCCTTAGAGGAGACTGAGACAGACTTCCTGCAGAAGGTGGGATTTGAGCTGCTTTGGAGGAAGTGGGGAAGGCTAGGAGGCAGAGCTGTGGAGGAAGAGCGTTCTAGGCTTGGGGGATGGCTGATGCAGGGGCACGGAGTGTCATGAGGAACAGCAGACTGAACAATGTTGTAGGGTAAGAGAGGGCATGGAGGTCATTAAGCTGGGACCCAGTACACTGACCATCCACGAAGACGCTTGGGAGGCTTAGCAGATACAGAGACTAGAGGTGGCAGGAAACACCACAGGAGCCCTGATTGGTCACCCTCTGAGCTGGCTCCTGAGGCATTTGGTTTTGGGGACTCCTCGGTACCACAAGGGTAGAAGGATAGGTTGAGGCTGGAACTTAGCCAGACAACAGGCATGTTCTCATTGAATGTTCTAATACGATGTATTTGAGGTGGAGTGGACAGTGAGCCAGGCCTGGAATCAGGAAGACCTGAGTTCAAATGCAGCCTTAGACACTTACTAGCTGTGTGATCCCGTGCAAGTCACTTAACCCTGCTTGCCTCAGTTTCCTCATCTGTAAAATGAGCTGGAGAAGGAAATGAAAAACCACTCTAATATTTCTGCCAAGAAAACCCCAAATGGGGTCACAAAGTGTCAGACATGACTGAAATATGACTGAAACACAGAAACTAACTCACCAATTCCCAACCATTCAGAGAAAGATCGAGGAAGATTCCTCTATCTCTGATGGAAGATCTCAGAAGCCACGTAGAAGAACTGCTAGGGCTTAGATTCTTAGAATCTAGCCAATACCTCACAGACTCTCAGATTCTTCAAGTCTGGCTAATATGGTGGATCTTTAATAAACCTTGTCTTTGGCTGGGAAAAAAAAAAAGAAATACTAGTAAATGGCATCATCACTGAATCTAACAGCACTTATGCATCACCCGTAGTGGAAGGGTGAGCAGCCCTAAGAAAAATGGAACAATATGGGTGTGTGTAGATCACTAGACTTGGAACAAAGGACTCAACCAGACCAGGGCACTGTGTGACCAGTGCAAGATGCCTTGGATTGTCTGCTGGGCAGCCAGGGGTCTTCAGTCTTGGGCTGGCGTAGTGGATACTACCAGAGTTCTATGTCTGAGGAAGACAAGGAAAAGACGGCTTTCATCTGTCCTGCCAGATCCGACCAGTTTGAATGAATATCCTCAGGGATTTCAGGGCCACCAGCCACTTTCCAAAGGCTAGGGAGAAAGTCTTTAGTGTTAGTGTGAGTGTCCCTGGATGATGGGAGAAGCGAACATCTCTCTCTTATAGTTAATAACTAATTATTGTATTAGGACCAAGGTTTTTCCCCTTTTCTACTTCCTCATCCAGAAACCAACAAGTGTGGGAAATCTGTCTTAGAGATTTACCCAGGCCAAGATCTAAACACACAGACAGTAAACAAAATTCTAAGTTTGGACTCATGGGTATATTCCTGCTCACTGTACTTCCTCACACAGGTCTGGGAAAATGTTGATTCTCTCTATTATCAAGGCAGGTGATATGGAAATTGATGTCTCTTTGACCAAGATTTGAGTGACCTAAGTCACAGCACCCCAAGATAGCCCACCTCCCATTGTGTTAATCAATCAGAGTTGATTAGGCATCCCCTCAGGAACACCTACTCTTCAAAGAGCATATAAACTGTGAGCCCACCACCATGAAGGGTCTTTTGTCTAAGAGAGATGGCCAAATGACCATCTTTTTATTAATAACATGCTGTCCTTATTAATAAAATTATTAAATTACACAGAAGCTATGTCTCTTGTGAACCCCGAATCCCATGAACTCCACAAACCCCAATTTGAAACAGTCTGTTCTAAGAAAAAGACAAACAAAATTGGGGTACACAGTACGTGGTGTCCGTGGTTTAATTTCTTAAAGTGGCTTGACATGCATTGCAGGGGAGCTCAGTCCAAAACTGGGCCCCCCTAAGGGGAGCCAATTCACAACTGGCTCAGTTTGGGATTTTGGGGTGCAGCTTTATATGCCCTTCAAAGAGTGGGTGTTTCCAAGGGGAGACAATCAACCGTGATTGGTCGACATACTAGGAGGTAGGTGGGTTCCTTAGATCACTCAGTTCACAGGGGCCATATATGGCTCACCATCAAAGGAAATACCACCCCCATTCTTGGAAGTCTGTGTCCACCTAAACCTGAGTAGGATAAAATCAATTCTGGCCTGGGTTCGAGTTTGACCAAAATAAGAAGATTCAATGCAATCTCATTGTCAGAGATGTCCTTCTGAACTTTGGTCAGAAGGCTGACAGGGGAAGCTCTGAGTCCCCAGTACACAGATTATCAAGAGAAATCTCGAACCTTTTTAACAATCACAATGCCTTCATTGCCTCTGGTAAGACACTGAGGAAACATGATGGAGGTGTGACTCCTCCACCTGTTGGCTTTTTCCAATCTTTCTCTCCCTTCATCAAACTCTCACTGAAGACACTCTTCCAGGGGCCAGAAGACCAGGATCTCTCCTCTCTCTTCCGGGCTCTTCCCAATAATGCCTCTCACCAGATTAAGTAATCAATCTCCACCAATGAGGAAAGAATTATACAAATGACCTTTGAGCCTCAGATTTTATTCATTTGATTCTGCAGGGAATAGGGAGCTGTGGGATTTTGTGGAGTAGGGGATGACACGGTGACCCGAGCTTTAGGAAAATCCCTTTAGCAGCTTCACCTCAGACTCAGTTTCCTACCCTGCCAAATGGGGACAGATCATGAGGTTCCTACCTCACAAGGCTATTGTGACAGGCCAAAGGAGAGCATGCCAGCTCAGCCATTGACTCCCTGTGTGACCCAGGCAAAGATACTGAAACTGGGCCTTAACCCTGGGCCTCATCGGCAAAAGGATAGGGTGGTATTAGATGACCTCTCACTTCACTTCCAGCTCGAAAACGATGCTGATTCTGCATATCAAACTTCAAAACAGTCAGTTAGGGAGGGGCAGGTAAGTGATGCAGTGGATAGAGTAGCAGCCTGGGAGTCAGGGGGACCTGAGTTCAAATCTGGCCTCAGACACATAACACTTACTAGCTGTGTGACCCTGGGCAAGTCACTTAACCCCAACTGCCTCACTTAAAAAAAAAAAGAACCAGTTAAATATCAGCTGTGATTATTATTGCTTCTAGGGTGAAGCATTAGGCTGTTAGGATGGGGGTGGGGGAGGGGGGCCTGGTTACATAGCCTAAACCAGAATTTCTTAACCTGGGGTTTGTGAAATTGGAAAAAAATAATTATATCTTTCTTTTCGCTATAATGGGTTTACTATATTTTTATTTTATGTATCTTAAAAACATGATCCTGAGAAGGAATGGCCCGACGGATCCAGGACATAGAAAAGGTGAAGAAATCTTGGCTTAAGAGGACCCCAGGACAGGACTCCTGGGGCCAAGAGAGGAAGGGTGGGTTGGGCTTTATTTGCCAAGGCTCTTCTATGAAAATGGGCCTATTTTTAAACCTGTACCTGGGGCCTCATGGGGAGTTACCTTTGCCTCTTAGCCTGATGTGAATCCAAGGTCCACACGGGGTGGGGGAGGAAGAAGGCAGACAGCGGCTCCTGCTGAGTGAGTCACCTTAGAAACCTCTCCTGGGTGGTCAGACCAGTTGGTCTGTTGAGCTGTTGCTTCCCTCTTTGACCCTGCAGAGTCTGACAGTGCTAGAACTGCCTGGGCACCGGGCCTGGCAGTCTGGAGAAGCCCGGAGGTAGGCCTGGCTCTGCCTTCACTCACTGCGTGATCTTGGGCAGGGTACTGGCCACTTCCCTTTTTGTGGGCCTCCTTTAGAGCTGTAACTGGAAGGATTCTGCTTTTGGTGGTTTTTTCGGTCCCATCTTGTGATTTTATTTTTTAAGGGAACTTCCTCTGACAAGAAAGTCCTAATGCCAGTACATGGCAACTTGTAGTCTTGGAGGGGTGGGAACCCTGTGGCATTGAGGCCACATGTGGCCCTCGAGGTCCTAGATTCAATCAAAGGGCCGAACCAGAGCTCTAAGGGGAACTTAAGAGACCCTTGAGTTCAATTAGTTTATTTTATAGAAGGGGGTAGAGGCAGCTAGGTGGCTCAGTGGATAGAGTACTGGTCCTAGAGTCAGGAGGACCTGAGTTCAAATCTGGCCTCAGACACATAACACATACTAGCTGTGTGACCCTGGGCAAGTCATTTAACCCTACTGCCTAGCCAAAAAAAAAAGTCAAATATTTTATAGAAGTGGGTTTATTGTTGAGTGGTTACAGTTGTGTCCAACTCTCTGTGATCCCATTTTTGGGGTTTTCTTGGCAGAGATAGAGTGGTTTGCTGTTTCCTTCTCCAGCTTATTTTACAGATGTAGAAACTGAGGCAGAGTTAAGTGACTTGCTCAGGGTCACCCAGCTAGGAAGCGTCTGAAGCTGGATTTGAGCTAAGATCCTCCTGATTCCAGGTCTGGCACTCTGTCCACTGCCCTATAGATATAGGACTGAGGCCTAGAAAAGTGAGATAATTTGCCTGAGGTGGAAGAGGCAGGAAGTGGAATTCAAACCCAGGTCTTCTGTTCCCAAATCTCTAGCTCTCTATCCCCATGTGACACTGAACTTGGAGCCAAAACAATTGGGCTGTTTGGGGGAGGGGCTTGTGACTGGGCTCTCTGCCCCTCTCTTGGGGCCCATCTTCCCCTTTCAAACATCCACTGAGGCAGAGCCCGAAGGAGAATTCCAGGGCAAGGGGACTGTGGTTTCTAGAACCGTCATAGAGAGAAAGCATGCCCCCTGCATGTTAGCACTTGGGCAAAGCCCAGACTGTCCCACCCTTGTTGCAGTCTGTATGAAGAACGTTTAGCTGAGTCTCCAAGTTCCTTCTGGCTCTAATTTTCTATTGTTTTAAGAGCACTGTCCTTTCTCCCTTCTGGGAAGAACAGATCTTATCAATAAATATAGACTTCTGTAGCTGGTGGCTATAGCCTAGCCCTCTCTTTCAAGTCCTCTGCTACTGGTAGGAGTAGAAACCTCAGTCCCTGCCCTTAGCCAATTGACAAGCATTTATTAAGTGTCTACTGTGTACCAGATAGTGTGCAGATACAGCTGGGGATGCATAGAAAAAGCAAAAACAGTTCCTGCCCCCAAGGAGCTTACGCTGCAGAGGAGACAACATCTATATGTCAGGATAGACCAGCTAAAAGCAAAGCCACTAGGAGGTGACCTTAGAAGCAGATAGCATCTGCAGCTGGGGAGACCAGGAGAGGCCTCTGGAGAACACCTTACTTAAGCTGAATCTTAAGGGAGAAGGATTTGCCTTATAGCCCTTGAACAAAATAACAAACATAGGCAGAAAATAATGACATGTGAAACTGTGAGTGGTATAGACTCTAAACCTCTAAAGAGGAAGACATGGATGAGGATTCTTACAATGCCTTGTTGAGTGGTTACAGTTGTGTCCAAGCACCCCCTTCCCGTTCCCCCAGCTGCTATTGCCTAATCAATTAATACATTTGAATAAAGATTAATGCTAATCTCTCCCAAAACAACTCTGAATTTATTTTGTACCTGCTTATATGGGTGTATGTTACCTCCCCAGATAGAATGTAAGTTCCTTCTGAGTAGGGATTACAATTCCATTTGTTTTGTTTTGGTTTTGTATCCCCAGCACCTCCCTTAGCGCCTGTCAGTCATAGGCATTTAAAATGCTTGTTGATTAACTAGAGTGGTTAGGAAAGGCATTGTGGCGACAGAGACTTATGCTGAGCAGAAGAAGAATATGGATGTAAGCTCAGCAGGGCAAGAGAAAAAGGAATACTGATTTCTGAGTTGCTTTAATCAACACTGGGCAATATATTTCTGGAAGCACATGAAACAACCACTTCCATTCTTGGGGAAGACACTGACATGGCTCGATTCTGTGAAAGATGAAAACTGAGGAATCAAGGGGACCAAAACAAGAAAGAATGGTAACATCCTGGGCAGCAGAAACCACCTGCATGTCTGTCCAAGGTAGGACGCTGAGCTTCCCGAGGCCACAGCTGGCTTTGCTATTGTTTGGCGTATGATGAATACCTCAGGGCTCTGGTTATCCTTGGAAGCAACCACTGTAACTCTTGGCTTCTAATCAGATCAGCTGCCTGGCCCTAGCCAGCATCTCTCTAGGGCATCTGGGGCAAGAGGTTTGGAAAAACACATCAAAACACATCTGCCATCCTGGCAAATCACTATTTAATGCACCAATCAAGCTCCCAGGGCTGCCCCAGGAGAGGGAAGGGGTGAAGAAAGCAGTGAAAGCAACTGGAAGCAGACTCTAAGAGAGGAGATGTGTCTTTGGAGAAAGCTTGGGGGATTCAGCTACAAAAAGGCAATTTAGCAAAGAGAACGAAAGATGGGACTAGTCAATGCTGGAGGGGCTGAAGGAAGAGGGGCACACCGATACGCTGTTGCTGGAGCTGCCAATTGGTCCGATCATTTTGGAAAACAACGAAAACAATTTGGAATTATGCTTAGAAAATAACTAAAATGTTCCAGACTCCACAGCATGGCATCATGGACAGAATGCTGGCTCTTGGAATCAGGAAGTCCTGGACTTTCTCAGATACTTGCTAGCTTAGTCAAGTCATTGTGATTCTCTGGGTGTCAGTTACTCATATGTAAAATGAGAGGATTGTACTAGAAGTCCTTTAGGGTCTCTTCCAGCTCAAAATCTATTATCTATGAATGAATAAGTGAATTTTAAAAGCATTTATTAAGCATTTACTCTATATTAAGCACCATAAATGCAAATAGAAAAATCAAAGACTTTGTTCTCAGGAAGCTCACATTCTAATTGGGGGAGACCTCTGCAGGGCAGATGGCAAAACCCAGAAGTCTTAAATGTGCATTTGTGGGTCATGTGGCAAGGCCGGAAGGTCTTTAGTTTATGTAAGTATATCAATAAGTACTTCTGTGACCCTCTGATCTATTGATCCCGTTGGTAGGCATGTACCTGAAAAAGATGGAAGACGGAAAGAAAGGCTCCATCTATACCAAAATAATCACCTAGTACTTTTTGCAAAGAACAGCAAATGAAACAGATGTACGTTGATTGTGGAACGGCTAAACAAATAGAAGTACATGAATGAAGTGGAAGATCGATGTGCCTTTAAGAATTGATGAATGTGAGGAATTTGTAGAAGCATGGGAAGACTAATACGAATTGACGTAAAGTGAAGGCAAAGTAAATAGAAAGAGCAATAAAATGAAAATGAGCACCATGAAATTACGAGCATGGCCCCAGAGAAGTTGGGAAAATGCAGCCCCCTCCCTTCTTTGTAGAGGTGAGTGGCTATAGGTGTGGAGTATTGTGTCTATAGTTCTTGTGTTGTTTGACTTTGCTGTACCCCCTCATTTTATTCTTTTTTGTTCTTTGCTACAAGGGATAGTTTATTGGAAGGGGAGGCAGGAGACATCCTCAAAAATAAATATGATATAACAAAAATGGCATTAATAAAAGTAAAATTTTAAAAAATGATCAGTCAATTTATTGGCCTCTGGGTGGTTTAGTAGATAGAATACAGGGCCTGGAGTCAAGAAGATTCGAATCCAGCCTTACATACTCACTAACTGTGTGTCCCTGGGTAAGTCACTTAACTTCTGTTTACCTTAATCTACCAGAGAAGGAAATGGCAAGCCACTCCAGTATCCTTGCCAAGAAAACCTCATGGACAGTATTGGTGCGCCATGGTCCACAAAGAGTCAGACATGACTAGATAACTGAACAACAACAACGAAGCATTTATTAAGCACCTACTGTGTGCCAGGTACTCTCATAAGGAGCCACTGAATTGTACGAGAGTAGAACCAAGGAAGGGTGTGTGTGTGTGTGTGTGTGTGTGTGTGTGTGTGGCGAGGGGAGTGTTCCACTACAACCAGACTGAGAACTCCTTAAGGACAGGCATCATGCCATACTTCTGTATAGTGGATACAATATCTGATTTTAATCAGGAAGACCTGAGTTCAAGAATTCTCCAGAGGAAGTGCATATTTTATGGAGAGACAGACAGTACAGTACAGTGGTAAGTGAATCAGATTTGGGGTCAGTGAACCCGAGTTTGAATCCCGGCTCTGCCCTGTGTGACCTTGGCAAACCCCTCAACTTCTCTGAATCCAAGATCCCTCCTCTGCAAAATAGGGTTGATACTAGCACATACCCCAAGGCTGTTGTGAGGTTCAAATGAAATAAGATAAATAGGGAGGTTTGAAAAAAACCTGAAAATGCCATAAAAACGTTCTTTGTTTTCGGTCTGGACCTGTGATTTTTATCACAGGGAAATTACAGGGAGGGAAATTCCAAGATGGAAACTTTCTCCCTAGATTCCAACCTCAAATTCTCTGTAATTTATAGTCTGAGAAAAATGGCTTCAGACCACAAGTGACTAGCCCCACAGCCATTCTGTGCCAGAGATAGAGACCTGAACCCAGATTATGGAAATACCAAGGCTGTCCCTTCACCCACCGAGAAGCCACCGTGCCACTCATATAAATGTCAGGCCCTACTCTATCCCTCCGTGGCACTGGGGATGGGCCTGGGAAAGGCAGTCTGGACTGAGACAAAAGACTTGGGTCTGAATCCGGACTCCACTGCATTGCTTGTTACCCTCCTGGAGCCCTAGTTTCCTCAGCTCTGAAACAGGGATGATGTAAAGGAAGCTGGATGTGATTCGAACCCCTCTCCTGGCTCAGTGCATACAGCCATAGCCACAGAATGTAGTCACAGGGGATGAGGTTTTTTTTTGTTGTTGTTATTTTGTTTGTTTTGGAGGTGGGGATGAAGTTTTGATGTGTTAGCAAGATGTAACTTGCTACGAAAAGTGTATGAACACCATTCTGGCTGAGGCGTCTCAACCCTGGACTATAGCCACAGCTTTCTGATTTTCTCCCCGCCTAATCCACTGTAATCAGTCCTCCACTCAGCTGTCAAGCTGATCTTCAAGTGCTGGTCTGACCACGTCACCCACTGCTCAGTAAACTCCAGTGGGTCCTCCGGAATCAAACATACAATTCCCTGTCTGGTGTTCGAAGCCCTTCAGAACCTGGACCCTTTTTGGATTAGATGGCTGGGCACAGAGTTAGGAAGACTTGAGTTAAAACTTGGCCCCAGATACTTGCTAGCTGTGTGGCCCTGGGCAAGTCACTTAACTTCTGCTTGCCTCAGTTTCCTCAGCTGTAAAATGGGGGGTAATAAGAGCACCTATCACCCAAGGTTGTTGTGAGGAACAAAGTGCCTGGCATGGTGCCTGGCACACAGCAGGTGCAGAGACTCTCCCTTTCTCTTCTTACCCTTCCAGTCTTCTTATACCTTCCTCCGTCAGCCAGGCACTACCTCACTGCCCTCGTGATTTGGTGATACAACATGCACAGCTGTACCATCTCCCAACCCGGGCACTTTCACTGACTGTCCTCCATGCCATGGAATGCTCTCCTTTCCCTCATCTCCTCTCGTTGGCTTCCTTCAGGACTCCGCTCCCATCTTATCAGAAGTCTTTCCTGACCCTTCCCCACTCCTTGGAGCTAATGTCTTCTGGTTTGTTCATACTTACCTGGATGTGGTCTTCCCCATTAGACCATAAGCTCCAGGTCCAGTCTTTCGCCTTTCCTTTTTGTATCTCCACGGTTTGGTACAGTACCTGCCACGTAGTAGGTGTTTTAATAATGAACATGCTTCTTGACTCGATAAGGGGATCGACTTAATCGGCTGAGCAAACCTTAGCAATACCACTGGAGGCTTTAAATAGCTAAGCCCAGGGTGAATTTCAGTAGGCGCACTTGCAAGCCAGAACCCGTCCCGGAAGGATCATAAGATCATAAATTCAGACCTGGCCTTAGGAGACAGATCCCTGCAGGGGGAAGGAATGAATTTCTTTCTTCTTCCCATCCCCCACTCCCTCCATTGGTCATATAACTTTGAAGGGGAGCTAATAGATCAATAAAAGACAATGTATCCAGTGAGGAGGCAGACACAGATACAGAGTGGCAAGGGAGGCAGCTGCTTCAAGGAGCATGATCCCTGGCAGCCTAAGAAAAGAGCCAGCTATGGAAACAACTAGTCTCTGGGAACCCAGATGAGCAACCAGCCCAGCAGAGGCACTGTACCCAAGAGGAAGTGCATGAGGACTCTGTGAAGAGAGAAAAGCCTTCCAGGCCTTGGTGTACCAGGAGTTGAATTTCCTTTGCCATGCACATAAACTATGTCTGTGATCCACTACTGTTATATTCTGTTTGCTATCACCCTTCCTATGGGGGAGTGTGCCCAGATTTATGGTGGTTAGGGATATTGGGAGGCAGCACGGGCCAGGCAAGTCAAACCACCATCACCACCTTGGTCACCGTCTCCCCTCAGAACCTGATGGGGACTGCCCAGGACCCTGAACCTAAGAGCCTTGAGAATGGCAATGCTTCCTGCCCAGTACCCTCAGCCATCATCCTGGGAAACAACTCTGGCAGAGACACAGCCTGGTGATTGCTCCTGCAGGTGCTACAGTCCCAGCTACTTTCAGCTGCTCAATCAGTAAACATTTATTAAGCACCTACTGGGTGCCAACCACTGTGCTAAGTGCTGGGGATACAAAGAGAGGCAAAAGATCTCTGCCCTCGAGGAGCTCCCAGTGGCGAAAGATCACACAGAAACAGACAGAAAAGGAACTCTTTGCCCCCAAAGTCCTTGATACTGTGAGACGGTTCTACATCAAAAACTAACACACTTTCATCAGTGGAAATGACAGAGATATTGACATCTACATCTTAAAGACTGTGGAACCTTTCCATCAGACTTGCTGCAGAAACCTTCCTTAAGTGCGGTCTTCTTCGCTATTAGAATGGGAGCTCTTTCGGGACTTTTCTATTCCTGGTGCTTTACACTTAATAAGTGCTTAGTAAATGCTTCATTCATGCATATATCATCTTAGTAAATGCCTTTGCTAAGAGTTGAGTTTACGGAACATTGTTAATGGGAAGCACACCGGTGGGGACCCCTCAGCTATAATGTTAGAAATAGCCATGTACAGGGTACCCTAGTATTCAAATCTGGCCTCAGACGCTGGACACTTACTAGCTGTGTGACCCTGGGCAAGTCACTTAACCCTGATTGCCTCACCAAAAAAAAAAAGAAAAAAGAGTTAGTACAATTGCCCTAATTGTTGCTGGAGGCTGGTCGGAAATGAGCTCACATTAAAGGGATCCCTTTGTAAATTGTAAAGAGCAATAGATTTGTCAACTGGCATTTTTACTATTGCTTCCTCATTAATGTAACTTGCATGGAAAACTCATTTGCAGAGGAGAATGTGGGAGAATTTATTGTGGAAGGGAAAACACTCAAATATAAATAGCCTCAGGTCTGTTAAAAGGAAACTGGCCCAATCCTATTTCTGTGACTTTGGGTGATTGCTTAATCTCCCATGGGGGCCACAGTTCAGCCTCGGTGATCACCAGTCATCTCTCCATTCCACTTTGGGGAAGCACTCCCTCCTTGGGCCTCAGTTTCCCCAAATGTAAAATCAGGAGGCTGCTCTATTAGGCTTCCGCCAGCTCTAGAATTCTGACAGTTGGCATGGCCGGGGGTGGGGGGCAGTGAAGGATGACGTCAGATTCCTGTTACCGAGCAGGAAACTCTCCTGCCCTCCCTTCCTTGGCTTGAACAGCACAAAGCACACAGTTGTCTGGCACAGGCACCAGCACACACACAGAGGGCCTCTCTCTTCCCTCCAAGCTAGTATCTAATTCCCTTTTGACTAGTCTGGAGCACCGGGGCTCAGCATAACCCACCCATGTTTGCTAAGGGAAGGTCTATTCCACTGGCCTTGGTCCCACCTTCCCTCCAGGGAAGAGTGAGTCCCTGTAGGTGAGGACACAGCTCAGCTCAGCCCTGGTACTTCTCAGGAGGAAGGCCTGCTGATTGCATGGATCACAAACCCACATCCTGCCCAGCTCAGCAGCCTCTGCCCAGAGACATCAAGGCAACAGAAGGAAATTAAAAGGGGATTGGGGGGTGAGGGAGCGGTCAGTGCTTCTAGCTCAGGGAAGCTAGAGGAGAGAATGTCTGGCCAAATTCCAGAAAAAGGTGAAAAGGGTGGTGGGGGTGAGGAGGAATCTCATTATGTGGTAAGACAGAGATGTTTGGATAGCCAAGCCAGAGTCCCTAAGTCACGGGTTATGGCAGCTAAGTGGTACAACAGGAATCAGAAAGACCTGGATTCAAATCCTGCCTTGGACACTTCCTTAGCTGTGTGATCCTGGGTAAGTCACTTCCCCCCTCAGACCCAGGTCACTCATCTGTAAAATGGGGACAAGAGCACCTAATTCACAAGGTCCTTGTGAGGAAAGCACTAGGTAAATGTTCGCTCCAGGTACCAGCTCTGGGATATAGGGAGAGCCAGAGGGACCGGGGATCCAGCCTCTGCTACATAGAAAAGCAGTGTGTGACCTGGAGTAGGTTACTTCCGCTCTGCAGGCTTGTTTCCTTGTGTATAAAACGAAGGGCCGTGGATGGACTTTACGGTCCCTTTCAAACAGCTGGTGTTGCCTTTGGCCTCTGTTTACTTATCTGGAAAACAGAGAGGATGAGAGCACCCACAGGAAGGGAAAGGGCAGGGAAAATAAGCATTTATGTGTGCCAAGCTTGTGCTAAGTGCTTCACAAACATTATCTTATTGGACCCTCACAACATTGCCGTGTTATTATCCCATTTTACAGCTGAGGAAACTGAGGCAAACAGGGTGTAAGCTCAGGATCACGTGGCTAGTTAGTGTCTGAAGCTGGATTTGAACTCAGGTCTTCCTGACTCCAGGTCCAGGGCTCTAACCATAGCACCACCTGACTTAGCATATGGTCCCTTGGGAGCCTGCCAGGCTGAGTGTGGCTGCCAGGAGAAAGGCCCGGGCACAGGAGAGGGCAAGGCTGATGTGAAGGTCGGAGAAGTCTTAGGAATCCAAGGGCGTTCCAGGAACACCAAAGGGAAGGGGGCGGGGAAAGCTCCATGAAAGTTCCCTGTTTTATTAACAAACCCGAGTCTCATAGAGGCAGGCAGACCCACACCATCACATACACAACTGGAGCTAAAATGATGGGGAAGCCGCCAGCTGGCAGGGCCCTACCCAGGAAAGGCAGGCCTGGCACAGGATGCAGAGCCGAGGGTCCAGGGCCCTGTTCTCCTCAGCTTCTGAAGCCTTTGGGGATGGAAATGCTGTGGAGAGAAGGGGCCGGGGCGCTTCATAATCTCGCTCACAATGGGAAGAAGAATATCCCACTATGGCTCAGATGCCCTTGAGCTCCCCAGCAGAGAGTGCCCAGGCGTGACTGCCTTAATTCCAGGGAAACACACGAGGCCAGGGCCCAGGAGGCACCTGTGGAGCCCAGGGGAGGGCTGCTGGCCCCATCAGCCACCCCTCCAATCAGGAACCTACAGGGTGGAGCCGAGGCAGACGCAGAAGGCAGCTGGTGGCTAGAGGAACAGAGGTGTACTTTATTGAGAGGAGGGCTCCTCCAAGGGTTTGGAAAAAGCCCGGAACCAGGCCCAGCCTCCCCTGACCCTCCCAGCAACCCGACAAACAGAGAACAGAACATCACCACCAAAAGACCAGCAAACAGAGGAGAGCGAAGGAGGAGGGGAGGCTGCCAGCTGGCAGGGACAGGGAGCCTGAAGTGCTGGAGATGGGTGCCAGCCATCAAGGCAGTGCCATGGCCTGCCGTCTGGCCCCTCACTCCCCAGGATTAAGGTTCATTGTGGTTCACAGTGAGACTGGCTTGGCTTCAGCGGCACGGAAGGGAGGAAGACACTAAGGATTTCCCCCTTACTCCAGCCTGGCCCGACCCTGTGGCCCACCTCCTCTGACCCTCCTCTCCTTCACTCAACAGGCAGGGGGTAAGGGCATAAAGGGAGTAGAGCTGGCCCTCCGACCCTGAGGCGCCTGGGAGGGATTCAGCTAGCTGGGCCTCCTCTGCCATTTGAGGGCGGGGGTGGGCAGGTGGCAGACGCTAACTCTCCACAGCTACCACCGGCCTGTTTCCCAGCGGGGAGGATGAGTCACTCTCAGCTCCCAGGGGGAATGGAGGTTTGGGGAATTTCTCATAGGACTGCCCCGAGTCTTTCCTAGCTATTCGATGGAGAAATGATTTTTTTTTTTGAAGAACAATCAGAAGCTGCATGGGGCTACACTCGGCTGGACCCAAGGATTGAACCCCGGGGACAGCTCTGCTTCAGAATGGGTCTCTGACTCCCCAGGAAGCGCCTGCGCAGAGGGACCCGCCAGTGCAGCACTAGGTGGGCCGCCAGGGCGGAACTACACGGACCTGCCTCCTCCCCCAGTGACCCTAGGACTCAGGCAGGGATGCGGGCCGGGCCAGAGAGAAGAGGGGGGTGGCACTGCCTGGTAAGGGAGGGAGCACACCTCCGGCTTTCTGCTAGGAGCCCAGCCTCGAGGAGCCAGGAGGAGGAGGGGGCCTGTCTTCTGTAGAGGTGGGGAGGGGAGCATGAAGCGGTAATGTGCTCAACTAGTAAACAGGCTTTGCCCTCCAGGGCATGGTCTTGAGCCTCTGTCTTCAAGTGAGACGCGCCCCAGGTCCCAGCAGGCTCTGGGCTGGGCTGCCCGGGGCCTCCCTCCGGGGCTTCTGCCAGCTCAGGCATTGCAGCCCCGTTCCCAGCCTAGGCTGGGGATGGGGGGAAGAAGGAAGAGGGCTTCACGCCTTGTGCACCTCGTCGTGCCCGTCCGGGGGCTCCTTGCGGCTGGAGGGGAAGGGTTTCATCTCCTGTTGGCTGCCCCCACCCCCTCCACTGTCATCCTCTGTGTCCATTTCCAGTCCGAGGATCTGCCGCTGAACCAGCTTGGCGTAGAGACCGCCCTGGGTCAGCAGCTGCTTGTGGGTCCCCTGTTGCACCACACGCCCCTTGTCCAACACAATGATGCTGTGCGCCTTCTCCACGGTGCTCAGGCGGTGGGCAATGATCAGGACTGTGTGCTTCTGAAGGTTGCCGTGGATTGCCTGCTGGATCTGCAGGACAGAGAAGGGGATGGCGGGATGGGGCAGGATGGTGGGCACAGTGGGCACAGAGCTGCGATCCTGGCCCCGAGTTCACAAGCCACAAGATTGGGTTCCCTTCCCTGGACCTCACATCCATCACCTCTTCTCCTGGACCCCAGAATCCCAGAATCTGAGAATGGGAAAGAATCTCGGTGGCCCATGAACCCAACCCATGTCCAAAGGGCTCCCCTCGCTGGGATGTCCCCAGGAGATTCTCGCCAGCCTCTGTCCGAAGGCTTCCCGGCAGGAGGAGCCCCCCCCCCCCGCCCCGGAGGCAGGTCAGATCACTCCTGGACGGCTCTGACCTCTAGGAAGTTCTTCCTGCCTCAGTCTGACTCTGCAACCTTCCAGCACTGGGCTGGTTGTGTCCCTTAGGGCCGAGCAGCACAAGGTGCCTCCCTGCTCATGACGGCCTTTCAGATGTGTCCCTCCCCAGCGTCCCTAATCACGCCCAGATCCTTTAACCAATCCTCTCAGGCCACGCACCCAAGGTGCCACCCTGCTGGCCGTCCTCCTCTGGATGCTCTCCATCTTAGCAATCTCTTTATTAAGCAGTGGGGCCCAGAACAGAACACTCCAGCTGAGGTCTGGCAAGGGCAGAGGACAGTCGGACTAACCCCCTGCCTATTCCTAAAAGCTGTGCTACTCCTAATGCAACCCAAGAATAGACTTGCTTTTGGCCAATACCACTGGTTCATCTTGAGCCTGTGGTCCACTTAGACCCCAAGATCTTCAGAACTCTGGCACATCATTTCTCCCTTGTCCTATGCTTATGAAGCTGATTTTTTTTGGACCCAAGTACAAGACTTTACATTTATCGTTACTGAATTTCGTCTTCTTATATTCGGTCCAATCATCTAGCCTGTCGGTATCTTTTTGGATTTTAACTATCATCTACCGTATTAGCTATCCTCCAGGCCATTAAATGCCCTGTATTTAGAGCTGGAAGGGACTTTAGAGATCTGGTCCAACCCCTTCATTGTACAGAAGGGGAAACTGAGTTTAAGGGAAGCTGGGTAACTTAGGAGCACGGATCATGGATCTAACACTGGAATAACCCTCAGAACCATTTAATCCCATCATTTAACTCCTGAGGAAAGTGAGGCTCTAAGAGGTGAATGATTTGCTGAAGATCACAGAGCCAGCTGCATGTCAGAGGCGGGACCTGTCACGGTGTCTTCCAGATGCCAAGTTCAGCATCTATCTAGCACACCGTGCTGCCTCTCTTAGTCCCAACCCCCCCCCATGCCAAGCTCAGCACCTATCTAGCACACCATGCCGCCTCTCTTAATCCCTACCCCCCCATTTCACAGTTTGGGGAAACTGAGGCTCAGAGAGGTGAGGGACTTGTTCAGAGTCTCAGAGCAAGTCAAGGACCATCTTCTTCCAGCCCATCTAATTGCTAAGTGTCCCCAGGCAGGAGGGCCCGCCCCAGAGCAGCCTTCCTCCTGCTGACCTCCCAGCCCCACCCCCTGCTCCCACCTACCAGGTATTCGCTTTCTGCATCCAGGGCACTGGTGGCTTCATCCAGGATGAGGACAGGCGGGTTCCGGACCAGGGCTCTGGCCATGGCGACTCGCTGCTTTTGACCGCCGGACAGCTGGGCTCCCTTTTCTCCAGTCTCTGTGGCAGGCAATAAAGTTGGCTCAAGATGCAGGGAACAGATCAGGGCTTTCCCCACGGGGCTGGAGCAAACAGTGAAATCCTGACAGTGGCTGAGGGGTGGCCCCCGCTGTCTCTGTGACTCTCCCCGCCCACCACCACAGGCAGCAGCCTCCAGGAGTCCCTTCCAGAGAAGAAAGTGGCAAGTTAAAGCACCTTGATGGTCCCCCCCACCCCCTGCTCCCCCTCCTCTTGGGTGTTCACAAGAGGTCTGTGATCCACCTGACTGGGGAAGGGCTGAGTACATATGGTCCATCACTATGTTACTGCTGTACATGAGGAATTCAGAGAAGCATGGGAAGACTTAGATGAACGGATGCAGAGTGAAGAGAGTAGAGCCAGGAGCAACGCAATGACTAAAAAACGTACATGGAAAGGGCAGCATAAAACAGAATTCTGCCTAATTATGATGACCCAGCTTGGCCCCAGTGAAGAAGTGAGAAGATTCACCTCCAAACTGGAAAGACTTCTATGAACAGATACAGAGTGAAGCGAGCAGAACCAAGAGGACAATGTATACTCTGAAAGACTGAAGGACTCTGATCAGTGCAGTGACTAGCCATGATTAAAAAGATGGAGGATGAAGCAGAGAAGTGATGGACGCAGGCTGGAGAATGAAACAAATCTGGGGATGTGTCCAATATGCGAATTTGTTTTACTTGACTATGAACGTTTGTCATGAGGGCTTTTGAAGAGGGTTAGGGAGAGGAGAGAAGGAAGGAGAGGCGGAGGAGGAGGAGGAGAAGGAGAAGGAGGAGAAGGGAGGAAAGAAGAGGAGAGGAAGGAAAAAAGAAAAGAAAGCGGAAGAGAGAAAATATATACTCACTAACTGCAAAAAATTATAAAATTTAAATTTAAAAAATGAACATAAAAGACCAACATAAACAGCCCCAAATAAAAAACTTCAGCCGCACCCCTTTGCAGCAGTGGGGGGAGTAGGGGGAGAGGTGGAGAACACGACATACACTGTCAGATTCAGCTGATGGGTGGGGTAATTTTGCAGAACTGTTTTCCCCTCCTTTCTTAATTTTTGTTACAAGTGATGACCAGCTGGGTAAGGGAAAGGGAAGGCTATGTTCAGAAATGGAGATAGCATGAAAAAAGCCATAAATAGAAAAGCCAAGAAAAGAATTTGGCAAGAATAAGCCCAGCTGACATCTCTATGCTGCTTCTGGACATTATTTTGTTGGGTCTTTGTGACAATCCTATGAGGCAAGTGCTACAGGGTTATCCCGATTCACTGACCAAGAAACTAAGGCTCCAAAAAGTCAATTCAATGCAATAAACACCTAGTAAGTGTCCAGTGTGTGCCAGAGCCTGCGCCATGTGCTGAAGAGACACAAAGAGGCCAAAGACCATCCCTGCCCGCAGGGAGCTCACAGTTTGATGGATTGAGTCAAAAGACTTGCTCCTAGTCACACAGCTGGTGAGTGTCCAGGGCAGGATGTGAATGCAGCCCATACTCAGAGAAGTTCTACTGGGGAATCTCCAGTGTCAGGAGGGAAAATATTCTTTAGGCATGAAGGCGTTCTCGGCATGCTTTGTGTATGTGCGTGCGTGTGTGTGTGTGGCCTTGCCACCCCTCACGGACCATACCTGTGCCATAGCCATCCTGCAGCTCCATAATGAAATCATGAGCATTGGCCTTCTGGGCGGCCTCTACCACCAGCTCGAAGGGTACCGAGGGCAGCCCGTAGGAGATGTTGTCCGTGATGGAGCGAGCAAACAGAACGGGCTCCTGACTCACCAGGGAGATCTGCATGGGGGGGCAAGGGGGCAGCAGAGGAAGAAGAGATGAGGATGACAGACAGCTGAGTTGGAATCCCTCCATCCTATTCCATCCGACCAAAAACCGACTCCGGGGAGCTTGGAAAGCTTATAAACTGTAAGTCAACTCAAGCTGTCCCTAGTCTAACGGTTACGCCAATACATTAATTAATCAATAAGCATGTATTAGGCACCTACGATGTACCAGCAGCCAGACATACAGCTCACTCAGCAATTTAAGCCCTGCTCTGCGTTAGGCACTACACTACGTACTGAGGCTGCAGCGCCATAAACAAATCGGTCCTTGCCATCAAGAAGCTTGCTTTCCATCGAGCATCGCAAGGCCAAGGTCCTAGCAGCCCCGTTGGCCACTGCCCAGAGGACCCCAGCCTACCTACCACTCTGTGCAGGTACTTGTGTTCGTAGGAGCTGATGGGCTGCCCGTCCAGCAGCACCCGACCCTCATCCACAGGGTAAAAGTTCTCCAGAATATTGACACAGGAGCTCTTCCCACTCCCTGAGGGCCCCACGAGGGCAGTCACCTTCCCCGGGGAGAGGGTGAAGGAAACATTCTGTAGGAGACAGAGACACAGTGCTCAGGCTCTCCCCCTGCCCACTCTGACAAGCGGTCTTCCTGAGACTTCCAGGGATGAGCCTTTCCCAACCCTGAGGCATCCTGAGGCACTTCGGGGCGGCTCCCACTGTGCTTCCTGGCACCCAGCCTGAACTGGACGCTTCCCAGGCCCCACCAGTTGCTCCTGGTTCAGCCCTCTGGGGCCAAGCAGAACACCATTAACCTCTCCAATGCTTGAAGACGACTCTTGTGCCCCGCCCCTCCCACACCTATGTAGCCCCTTCTCTACGCTCAATGTCCCAGTTCTTTCAACGGTTTCTCACGTGGCAGATGTGAGACCCTTCTCCATCTGACCGTCCCCTGAATATTCTCCAGCTCGCTGCCCTTCTTAAACCGTGATGGCCAGAACTGAACATGACTCTAGATCTGGTCTGACCAGAGCAGAGAACAGTAAAATCACTGCCTTCTTGGGCCTCTTCACCACGACCCTCTCAATGCAGCCTGACTACCATAGCACACAACTAACTGAAACTGAGTGTGCGGGCCACTAAAACCCTGGGATCTTTTTCAGACAAACTGCTACCTAACCATGCCTCCCCATCTTGAACTTCTGACATTGGTTTTTTAAATCCAAGCTGAAGACTTGACCTTGATACTTGGTGAATTTGATTCCACTGGTTTAAGCCCAACGGTATAGCCTGGCATCCAGGGATAGCTCTTCCCTCCCAGTGCTGGGTCACTTTTAGGACCCTCAGTGCTTAGGAAATCTGGGAGCCTCTCTCCCTACTTCCCAACATCCCCCTCTCCCCAGGCCAATGTTTCTGAGCCCCCAGGCTCTCTAAGGTCTTGAAGGCCCAGGCCTCTTCATCATCAGCCAGAGGGCCCTGCTTCTGCCTGGGCGACACTGCTCTCTTCTGACTCTGCCCATCTCCTTCCTAGACAGGGGTGGCCAAACCGTGCAAAGTGCCGGGGCTGGAAGAGACCTCAGAGATTGTCTGGGCCATCCCTGTCATTTTCTGGAGGAGGAAAAGACCATCCAAACCAAGAAGCGTGCATTAAACACCGACTGTGTGTAAGGTGCTGAACTAGCTGCTAGGGATACAAAGATAGAGGGACAGATGGTCTTGTCCTGCTGGGGAGGGAAAGGTTACAACACAAAACAGACGTGCGGGAGAATTTGAGGTTGTCTAGGAGGGAAAAGGAACGGAGGCCACTGAAGCCCCCAACTTTCTGGGCACCTGCGATTCAGCCTCTCTCCCCACCCACCAGAAGGCCTGCCTGCCACGGTTGGCCTCCAGCCGGAACATTGCTGCCCTGAGGTCTCCCGCTCACCTGCAGGACTTGGGTGTGAGGACGGGTGTGGTAGGTAAAGGTGACATTCTCAAAGTCCACTCGACCCTCCAGGTGATCAGGGGCCAGGGTCCCATCATACACCATGGTTGGCTGCCGGTCAATGAACTCAAACACCTTCTCGGCTGCTCCTACCCCCTGCATCAAGCCACTGTAGACAGAGCCGACTGACTGCAGAGACACAAAGCATCCCCACCATTCCCTCCAAATTACTACCTAGTAACTTGTGGGAATCTCCTCCCCATGGGCCAAGAGAATACAGAGGCTGAGCACAGAGGATGAGAAGGGAAGGTCTGCCTCCCATCCCCGACCCCCACCCTGCAGAGAGATGGCATAGAGGCAAGGACCTTCCCAAAGAGCCTGGGGCGATCTGCTTCCCAGCAAGAGACTGTGCCCCATCAGCGTCCCCACCGGCTCCATCCCCCTTTCCTCAGGCACATTCTGGCTTTTTTTTAGCCTTGGAGAGCTGGGAGGGTCCTCAGCAGCCATTTCCTTTAGCTGCTCCCTGAATGAGAACCCTCACTACCATCTCTCTGACAAGTGGTGCTGAGGCCCTGCGTAAAGGCCTCCAGGGAGGAAGGCCGGCCCACCCCACAGTGGGACAGCTGTCATTGCTAGGAAGCACTTCTTGACACCGAGCCTCCGTCTCCTCTGGGAGCCCAGTGGAATGAGGCTGGTGCCTCCTCCCCGTGACCGGCCTTCAAACTCTGGAACGTGGCTCTTGCGTCCCTCTCACCGCTCCCCAAGGCTTCTCTTCTTCGCACCGAACATGCCCAGTCTCTGCAGCCCCCTCCCCATCCTTGGGTCATTCTGCTGCTCCACCCTGCCCATGGTTGTGCCGCAGCCCACTCTCCTCACCCCATGCTCACCTCCATACAGTCTCCCAGAACAAACTCATAGATGATAAAAGAGATGAGGTTCCCGCTGGTCATCTGGCCTGAAATGACGAGGTGGCCCCCGTAGTAGAGGATGCTGACCTGCACCACCAGCAGGGTGAGCTAGAGGCCCAGGGGACAAAGGGAAGTGGGATTTGGGTCAAAAGGTCCTGATTCAGGCTGTGCCCCACTAGCCTGACAGGGGACAGAGATGGGGGAGGGGGTATGTCAAGGGAGTCAGCGGAGAAAAACTCAGATTTGGGCAGGAATCCGCCTCCTGCACTCCCACTGGATCCTGGGACCACCCTCCCCAACTCCTCAGAGGCCATCTGGTCCGGCTGCAGGCCCCTCATTTTACAAATGAGGAAAGTGGGCCCCAGAGAGTCCTAGATGTAGAGGCCATTGGCCCGGGGAGTTCAAGGGAGTTTGCTCAGGGACCCACAGACAGAGAGCCAAAGGGGTCCTCTGACTACAGCCAGTGCATTTTCTCCTGTACGACACTGTACCGGCTCTCTGGTGAGGCACCAATATTAAAGGAGATTGCCTTCCTGCGCTCTGGAGAAAGGGAAAGGAGGAGGGCAAGAAGCTAAGACTTCCCGTTGGGGAGAATGCCCCTTCCACAAACAAACACACCATCTGTGACACAGGGGAGGAATCTACCCCCGTTACACAGACAAGGAAAACTGAGGCCAGAAAACTACTGCATAGCCACACCTCTCCCATATTGTCCTTGGGAGGCTGATTCTTTGAACCCGAGCAAAAGACTTCCCATGTTCTCGTTTCCTATCATTTCTTACCCACAGCTTGCGGCTATTTTCATTTTTCAGCACATGAGGGACGCAGCAGAGACTCACATCCAACCTCTGACCCACACAACCTACGTGACCCTGGGTAAGTCTCTGAATGTGTCCCAGAAAACCCTCTAGGTGTTTTTGTTCTTCTGCTTCAAACAGGAATCTAGGGTGGGGCCTTGTCTCACCTGACCAGCAGTGCCCAAGTGGCCTTCTCTTAATAAACACACATAAACCTTTCCCAATCTTTCCCTCCATCTTCTGGATCACCGCCTTGTCATGGTGGAGGGGCTTGCATAGCTCAATGAAACTCTGAGCTATGCCATGCAGAATTACTCAAGATGGATGGGTCATAGCAGAGAGCTCTGACAAAAAAAGGCAATCCACTGGAGAAGGGAATGGCAAACCATTCCAGTATCTTTGTCAAGAAAACCCCACAGACAGTACTAAAATGATGAAAAATATGACACCAGAAGACGAGCCCCTCAGGTCAGAAGGTCTCCAATACACTACTGGGGAAGAGTGGAGGACAACTCCAAGGAGCTCCAGAAAGATGTGGTCAAACAGGAGATGGAAAGATAAATATCGACACCTTGGGTGTCAGTGAACTGAAATGGATGGGAATGGGTGAATTTAATTCAGGGGATCACTATATCACGTATACTACTGTGGGCAAGAATCCCTTAGAAGAAATGGAGTAGCTTTCATAGGCAACAAAAGAGTGAGAAAAGCAGTACTAGAGTAGAATCTCAAAAATGACCAAATAATATCTGTTCCAATCCAAGGCAAATCATTCAGCATCACGGCAATACAAATCTATGCTCCAGCCACAGATGCCAAAGAGGCCAAAGCTGAGCAGTTCTACGAAAACCTACAATATCTTCTAGGAAGAATACTCCAAAAAGATGTCACATTCATCACAGGGGATTGGAATGCTAACGTAGGAAATTAAAGACAATTGGACCAACATGCAAGTTTGGCCTTGCAGCACAGAATGAAGCAGGGCATAGACACTCCTAGAGTTTGTCAAAGTAACTCGCTGGTCACAGCAAGCACTCTTTTCAACAACCCAAAAGGTGATCCTATACGTGGACATCACCACATGGTCAAAATCACAATCAGACTGATTCTATACTTTGCTGCCAAAGAGGGAGAAGCTCTATAGAGTCAATTAAAACAACACCTGAGCTGACTGTGGCTCAGATCATGAGCTGCTTATTGCAAAATTCAGGCAAACTGAAGACAGTAGGGAAAACCATAAGACAATGTTGGTATGACCTATGACTACGAAGTGGAGGTGATGAGTAGATTTAAGATGAATAGCTTAACATAAAAAAACCCCAACAACTAAGATCTTGGCAACTGGTCCCATCACTTCCTGGCAAATAGAGGCAGAGGAAATGAAAGCAGTGTGGGATTTAATATTCTTGGGCTCAAAGATCTCTGTAGATGGTGAATGAAACCATGAAATTAAAAGATTCTTGCTCTTTGGAAGGAAAACTGCAGCAGATCTGGACAGCACACTAAAAAGCAGACACGCCACCTTGCTGACAAATACCTAGTCAGAGCTACGGTCTGTCCAGCAGCAATATAAGGCTGTGAGGGTAGGACTATGAGGAAAGCTGAGCACCACAGAATCAATGACTTCAAGTTGTGGTGCTGGAGAAGACTTTGGAGAGTCCCTTGTTCAGCAGGGAGATCAAATCAGTCAATACTGAAATTAATTCAGATTAATCCAGATTCACTGGAAGGGTAAATACTAAAGCTGAAGCTTAAATAAGGCAGTTAGGTGGTGCAAGGATAGAGCGTGAGGCCTGGAGTCCAGAGGACTTGAGTTCCGATCTGGCCGCAGACACTGACTAGCTGGTGACGCTGGTCGAGTCACTTAACCTTGTTTGTCTCAGTTTCCTCATTTGTGAAATGAGCTGGAGAAGGAAATAGCAAACCGCTCCAGCATCTTTGCCAAGAAAACCCCATCTGGTGTCATGAAGTCATACACGGCTGAAACAAATGAACAACACCAACAAAGCTTAGATACTTTGGCCACACAATGAGAAGATGGGACTCATTGGGAAAGACCCTCGTGTTGGGAAAGATTAAAGGCAAAGGGAGAAGGGAATGGCAAAGGAGGAGACTGACAAACAGTGTCATGGAAGCAACAAACATGAGCTTGGACAGACTTTGGGAGATAGAGTAGGATAGAAGGGCTTGTGGCGCCACGGTTCCTGGGGTCAGAGAGACATGACTCAACGACAGATCTTTCCTCTAGTCCCTTCCCCTTTCCTGACCCCAACTGATCCTCCCTCTCTTGGGCCGAGCTTTGGCAGCAACTTGAATGACTTCATGAGGCTTTCTCATTCCTGGGGAAGAAGCTGGCCCAGCTCACAGCACAGGGTCAGGTGGTTCTCGTCCAGATCACAGTGCCCTGGGAGCAAGCTTTCAGGAGCTAGGTCATGTGGGTATGTGGAGTAGCTCTCTGGAGTTTGCCAGGCTGGCCCCAGGGATCCTGCATGACCACTGCAGAAGATGCCCTTGGGCTCCTAGCTCTTTGAAGGAAGCTCGAGTTCAAAGAAAGAGAACTTCAGCCCCCACTCCATGGCTTGAGAGAGAAGGACAAGGAGAACAAAGTGAGCACGCCAGGAGAGCCAGGTGTTATCAGCTTATTGTCATCTTAGAGGCAATGTGATGCAGGGAAATGGCACTGGATTTAGCATCAGAGGATCTGGGTTGAAATCCTGGCTGATGGGGCTGGACTAGATGGCCTTTAGAATGCAGTCTATGATTTCATGATCCTATTGCAAGGTACACTGCTCCTTTAAGACTGTTTCACCTGGAGCAGCTGACTGCTGAACGCCTTCAAACTGGATGTGGACAGACATTACTCTGCCCCTTTCTAACACTGAACTCTCCTACACACGTGCAAGTGAGGCACCATTCCACATCATTCACAAAGGGATTTATGTCTGCATTTTACACCACAGACCTTTTTTTCCTGTCCGAAACTGTCCAAATCCTGTCTGAAAGCCGCGTTTCTTTATGCAAACCTAACAGCAGTTTTTATTAAAACAACGTTCTCTTTCTAATCCAGTAAGGTACCAAAATGTCCATCTATAATAGCAGCAATATCTTGCATTGTTGCACAGTTGATACAGACCTTTCCCTTCACACCCTCCTTATCAAACGGGCCTTAAAGGACTGGTGCCCTCACCACTACCGTGAATACAAGGTGTTCTCAGTCTCTCCTGACACTGAGAATGCACTGATAGGGCCTGTCTCTAGGTCTTTCCCGTAAAGAACTAGCAATTCAGTTTCCTGGAACCCTATGAACTGTGGCTTATTTGTCAGCCTCTTGTTGAATCGGGCCCCTCTAGTCAGTACCTTCCCACCATGGATCCTTCCCTTCCTCTTCCTGGGATCTCTGGTCCATACAGGAAACAGAGACTAGAAGAGGACAGGGCTAGGGAGGAAGGGAAAAGAGGAAGCGCTGGTTCCCCAGGATCTCTGGCACATACGGGAAACAGGACAGAAATTGGTGGGGACGGATGGGAGAGGGGAAGTTCTACTTTCCAGGGACCCAACCAGCACAGATGTCTCTGCTGGGCCCTGGAGCTCGAGAAGCTAAGGGTTAGATGGGGGTAGGAGTGTGGGTGACACCTACCCCATTGCCCCACACGTAGTACGTATAGGCCATGGATGCCTTCCTGTTCAGCTTGTACACCTGCTGTAACTTCCGATAATACACCTCGGCCTCCTCGTCCTCATTGGCAAAGCTCCTGACCGTCTTCATAGCACTGATGGTCTCCTCGGCTGTATTGCTAGCCCTGGCCAGGGCATTCTGGACCTCTTTGGAAAGCCGCTACATCCAGGCCAACCCAAGAAGGAAAAGAAGAAGAAATGGCAAATTAGCATCATTTCAGAGCTTGTGTCCCCTATGTCCATTGTGCTTCCATGTCAGGTCTGAAGATTCCTCTACAGAGACCATAGAGAGCCTTTGGGGTTCTCTCCCTCTGTGGATGATACAAGCCAGATGATTTCACTGGTACTGGGAATTCCTATCTGTCAACACAGATGAACTCCTGCTCTGCGGTGTATAATCTTAGAGAGTTTTCTAGGTTAAGTGACTTGCCTACGGTCATACAGATAGTATGGGTCAGAGGTAGGGTTTGGGGGTGGCCTGGGTTTTCCTGACACCAAGACCAGCCAGTTCTCTATCCGCTATGTCCCTCATACCAAACATATTCAAGGGGCAGCAAGGTGGCACAGTGGATAGAGCACTGGCTCTGAAGTCAGGAGGACCTGAGTTCAAATCTGGCCTCAGACCAAACACTTGACACTTACTAGCTGTATGACCCTGGGCAAGTCAATTGCCTTAAAAAACAAAAAAATAAAGCAAAACAAAACAAAAAGCCCAACACATGAAAAACATAAATAGCTGCACGCCATGGATAAGAAACTATGGTAAATGGAGGACACATAAAATCTTCCACTTGGGTTCAAAGACCCAACATCCCAAGGACAAGACGGGAGAGATGTGGTTAGACAACAGACTGGGGAGTTTTGGTGGATTTCAAGCTCAATGTGAGTAAATGAATGAATATGTCAGCCAAGAATGCAATCTTAGGTCAAATTATAAAAGGCACCATGTTCAATTATAAGGAAGTGATCATTCCATCATACTCTGAACTGGTCAGACCACACCAGGAGCATCATGTTCAGTTCAGCCTAACCATCCACACAGGAAAAATCAACTGGATGAAAAAAATGCTTGTCATCTAGACAGCACTGCACCACGGGGTGGACAACCCATAAAGCTGCTCCATTAGCATATAAGTGTTGAGCAGATGTTACAGTTGGACTATAATGTGCGCCCAGAAATGGAACAGAGGGAAAAGCACAGGTTGGATCGCATTTGAGGAATTGTGCTACACCTTTTAACAACCCTAGGCTTCTCCCTGAAACTAAATCCTATCTTTTTCCCACTTCTATTCTTTCAGGGCTGCTATCTGTATGTGAATCATGGATTATCACAATCTCTGGGCAATCAAAATTGCAGATTTTCATGGGATCCTACTCCTAGAGCTGGGAAGGACCTCTGAGGCCAACTGGTCCCCCACCCACCCCCACATTGATCCAGGGAGGTCAAGTGACTTGCTCAAGGACACACTGACAGTGTAGATGAGGAAACTGAGGCACAGAGAAGTGAATTTAGTATTAAAAATATTTTATAAATTTGTATCAATACAATTGCATTCTTTTGTAATTCTATGCATTTAAAAGCCTTATTCTGCGGAGGGATCATAGGCTTCATCAGCATGCCTAAGGGAGTCTGGGACACAATTAAGATTAAGAAAGCCTCCTCTTGTGCAACTCCCTCATTTTCCAGATGAGGAAACAGGTTAAGACCTCACCTGAAGGGCAGTGAAGAGATGACGGATGGGCCAATTACCATAGCTGAACTGTGTGCGCAAAGCAACATAAAAGATATTATCAGAGAGACAGGAAAAGGAGGTGGGTCAGTCATGCAGTGAAAGCAAGAGATGGCAGATGGATGGCCTTTGAGATGTGCTGGGACCCACTTAATGTCAAGAAGCCTAGAGGAAGCCCTCCTGTCTGCCAACATGTCCATCCCAAAAGAAGGTTTAATAGAGGCCACGGACAAGAGTCACACAAGAGGAGAAGCAGTGGACAGGTTACTACCTGCAAGGCTAGAGGGAGGGGATGCCTCTATCCTGGAGATGACTGATACATTCAGTTCAACAAATGATATGAAGGCCTTAATAAGGAGAGGCCTTTCTGAACTACCCAAGGCCCTGATCAGTCAGCTAGAAATGCTCTGGCCCTGGCAGACAGGAGACTTGGGAACCTGCTAAGGCAGGCCCCCAGTGGCGGGCAGCCGCCAGGGGAGCCAAAGTGGATCCATGCAGAAGCAGAGATGCCCCATATCTGACACCAGAGTAGCCTTTCCATTGCCTGAGCTGTTTTGTGCCAGGTGTGACCTTGGGCAGATGCCATGACCCCTCTGCGCTTCAGTTTCCTCATCTGAGAAAGAACAAAGGTGCTGCTCTAGGCAAAGGGTTTGTGTGTGTGATTTCAAAATATTTTGGTAATAGTATTTCAATATAACTTGTAACCTTGTGTGTTTTATTTTATGCATTTAATAAATAATACTAATAGCTAGTATTTATATAGGGCTTTAAGGCTGAGGAATTGCTCTACAAATATTATCTCACAACAACCCCAGAGGTAAGTGCTATTCTTATCTCCATGTTACAGATGAGGAAACTGAGGCAGACAGAGGTAAAGTGACTTGCCCAGGGTCACACAGCTAATAAATGTCTGAAGCAGGGTTCGAACTCTAAGGCTAGTACACTGCACCTAGCGGCCAAACCAAATACACGATTCTAAGAAGGGGCCCACAGGTTTCACTAGTCTCTCATTCAGGTCCATCTCACACACACACACATTGTTAAGAACCCCTGGAATAAGGGACCTCCAAGCTCTTTAAAGACAGGGAATGATGCCTTTCGGTCCCCAGTGCCAAACCCGGGAACAAGGGAGGAATGGATTTATGATTTCACTGTTTTAGTCAGTTCCCAATATGGAGATGTCATCTACCAGGGCAGAGAGCATGGGGTTACCAAGAAGTGAACTGACTCGTTCAGGAGAAGGGAGCCAATACATGTCCAAGGCAGCACTTGAACCCAGGTCTTCCTGAGTCCCGAGCTGACACACTGAACACTATACCTGGCACACAGCAGGCAGCTAACTGTCGACTGACTGCTTGATCCTAAGACCCTCCTCCTGGGAGCCACCAAACCCCCGCGTCAATGCCGGCTCATGGGGATAAATGGAGTTGGGGGAAGAGGGGAAGGGAGGAGAGCACGAGGCGCTCAAACGCCTTCCTCTAAGTCCTCTGTTGTAGCGACATGGCACACCGGCGTCCTGGGAAGCTTTAGAGATGGTGGCTTGTGACAAGACCTGATGAGATGAGCGGGGTGCTCATCCTCGCAGCAACCCTGGGAGGGAGCTGCTAGGGCTAGCCCCATTTTTCACAGGAGGAAACAGAGGCTGAGAAAAGCTAAAGGTTTTGCCCAACGTCACCCAGCTAATAAATGTCTAAGGCAGGATTCAAACCCAGGTCTTCCTGACCCCAAGTCCAATTCTATCCTCTATGCCACTTTGTGGTAGTGTTCAATCGTTTTTCAGTCGTGTCCGACTCTTCATGACCCCACTCGGGTTTTCTTGGCAATGATACTGGAGTGGTTTACCACTTCCTTCTCTAGCTCATTTTACAGATGAGGAAACTGAGGCACACAAAGTAAAGTCCCTCTCCTGCTCAAGCACCTCACCTCTCTCTGGCTCTCCAGTGCCTCTAGGATCAGATTCACACTCCTCCTCTCTTTTGCCTAGAGCCCTTCACAGTCTGGTTCCAGGCTCCCCTTCCAGCCTTATGGCCTCCTTTACCTCCCAGGCCTCCTGACTTCCCAGCTGCTCATCTCCTGCATCTCTGCCCTAGTTATCCCCAGGCCTTGCCATTCAGCCTCAGCCGCAGGGTGTCCCCTAGGGGAGGCCTTTGCCGACCACCCCTTCCTCCACCCAACCCAGCACAGTATATGTACTTTATAAATATTCTATACTCACACTGTGAGCACACTGTGCTGTTACAATTGGTAGATTGTTAGCACCTCGAAGAGCTTAGCACAGTGCCTGGCACTTAGTAGGTGTTCAATAAATGCTTTGGATGGGCCTAGGGAAATGCAAAATGTGATTTGGCGCAAAGAGTGTTGATTTGAAGTCTGAGGACCTGGGTCCTGCTAGTTACTCGGTGTGTGTGTGTGTGTGTGTGTGTGTGTGTGTGTGTGTGTGTGAGAGAGAGAGAGAGAGAGAGAGAGACAGACAGACAGACAGACAGACAGAGACAGAGAGACAGAGACAGAGACAGAGATACCTTGGGCAAGTCACTTCCCTTCGTGTGACCTTGGTTTCTTCATCTGTAAAATAAGGGAGTTGGGCAGACCTCTGAGGTCCCTCCCAGCTCTAGAGCTATGACCCTAAAAGCTGTTCTGGGATCTGCTGAGTTTGGCTATTAAGGGGATGGGGGAACCAGAGAGGTGGGGGGTAGAGAGGCCCCAGGGGCTGCCAGGTGAGCCCCACCCATAGGCTCAGCCCACCACATTCAGTGTTTCCATTTGGCCAGGAAAAAGGATCCATGTGACCCAGGGGCTGGGCAGGGACCTCTAGGGTGGGACTGAGGAAACACATCAGGATCTGTTTTTAGGGGACTGATTCATTTCAGGAAAAGGGGGTGGGGAGGAATGGGAGGGAGGCCACGGCTGACCAGCCTGACACACAACCACGGCGCTCTCTTCTCTGTCCTGGCTTCTGCAAGAGGCAGTGGCTGGGGAGGGACGGGGAAGAGAAGCCCCAGGCTCACCTTGAGGCACAGGCCAGGGAGCTCCAAGTGGGCTGCCCAGCCATCGCTAAGGCCCCCCCTTAGTCTCCAATCCAATCAATCAATCAACAAGCATTGTTTGAATGCCACTAATGACACAGAGACAAAGAAGTAAGTGATCCCTAACTGGCACAGAGCTCACATTCTAATGGGAATTTCCATGGACCTCTCCAAGCAGATCTTGTATGCAAGGAGGCCTGGGCTGAAGTCTTGCCAAAGGCCCATGCTGCTGTATGCAGACGAAGTCACAGGCTTGAACCACACACCCCGAAATCCCAAACAGAAATATGGACAGATAGAGAGATGGGAGCAGGTCTAGGTGACAGCGAGACACAAACCTAGGCCAACGGGGGCACCTCCAGCCCGTGACCCTCTCACTGCCCCGCCCAGACACCCTGGAAGAGGAGCAGGAGTAACTGTAACCACCCGGACCTGGGCCTCATGTTCTCTGTTGTTGTTGTTATTGTTGCTGTTTTTTAAGACAATTGGGGTTAAGTGACTTGCCCAGGGTCACACAGCTAGCGAGTGTCAAGTGTTTGGTCTGAGGCAGGATTTGAACACAGGTCCTCCTGACTTCAGGGCCACCTAGCTGCCCCAGCCTCATGTTCTCTGCAACAAGCTTCTGGGAGGCTGAGGCCTCTCCCCTCTGCCCCACTGCTCTTCCCGAATCTCTCTCTGATGGGGTGCTCCGGCGCTTGTACTTGTGCCCCAATTTCTCCACTATCCAGGACAGTTTCTCCCCAGCCCGAGGACCCTGTGCCTGGCAGTTATTCATGCATGGGCCTCAGCACCACCCTCATCTCTGTCCCTGGTACAGCTACGCAGAGCTGGGCTGCTCAGGCCCCAGCCCTCCGATCAGGTCTCTGGAAGCCTCCCAATTCCTTAGTAGTTCCTGTCTTGTAAGAAAGCTTTCCTTTGTTGCAGAGCATTCATCAAGACAGAGGGAGAGGGGTGCCTCACCCAGCCCAAGGACTCTTCCTCCTGCCAGACTCCAAAGATCCATCCCCCTCCCTGTCCCGTATACTCCCTGTACTTTCCCATCCATAGCTCCTAAAGACACCTGCACCTTTGGATGACCTCATCAGTGTTCCTGGCATTTCTTGCCCATGCTCTTTTCCATATAAACCCTAGCGGCATTCTCAGTCTCTTGCAGGAATCCTTAAGAATCCTTGCCCGCTGAAAAGCGCAACAACAAATCTTTGCCACCTTGAATTAAAGAATGCTTGAGTCTGTGAATTTATTCCAGACGACGGTCTTTGAGGGGTCACAACCTCTCAACCTCTCACACCGCAACATCTCCTCCCCTGTGGTAACAGATGACTGGCCCAATAGATACAAACCATTGCTAACTCCCACCTCCTACTCTTTCATTCCCATCCTCCACAAACCGGCCCACTTCAGTGTGCCTCTGCAATTGCTGTTCCATAGTGAACAAACACCTCTCCATCTTTCCCTTTACTGGCCAGGGCTGGCAGGGAGAGTCTACACCCTGCTTCCCACGGCCACTGCCAGACTTTCCTTCCCCTCAATCCTCGGCAGCCTTTCCTCATCTGAAGGCCCTTCAGCCACACTATCGCATGCAGTCCCATCTGTGGCTCCCCAGCCCCTTTGTTCTTCTTTCCCAAGGAGCTCAGCCCCTGGCTCACCAGCTCCCCACCTGCCACCCTTACACCAGGGGGCTTCAACATTCGTGTCGGCACTCCCTCACCTTCTATGTCTTCAGCCTCCTTCAGTCTCAGGATCTTCATACAGGGGCGGTCACATGCACGCACACATCTCACCGCTACCCACACACATGTTCCACTTCTCCCGAGGCCTCCCCCTCCTACACCTGTCCCTAGCGCTGGCCCCACTCACTACTTCCTCAGGCTCCTCCCCAGCTCCTCCCGTCCCACATCATTCTGGCACTGACCCTGCTCACAGATCCTTCACTGGCCCCTGGCTGCTGCGCAGCCCTCGACAAACCTCAGCCTCACTTGTTTCCACCCTCCTCCTCCTCCTCTCTTCTCACTCACGGACACCCGCTGACGGCACAGGAGAAATTCTTACAACTGGGCCCCCCTTGCTGCAGATCCCTCCTTTTATTCCTCCTGGATTGATTCCTCATCTCACCCCCCAGCCCCAGGAGCAATTCCAAACCTTCTCTGCCTTCCTCAAGTGCCCTTGCTCCCCCCTCCCTCCCACACTCTCTCTCTGTCTCTTTTCTCTCTCTCTGTCTCTCCCTCCCTCTTCTCTCTCGCTCTCCCTCCCTCCTCCCTCTCTCTCTCCCCTGCCCCCTCATTCTCTCTCTCTCTCTCTCTCTCTCTCTCTCTCTCTCTCTCTCTCTCTCTCTCTCTCTCTCTCTCTCTCTCTCTCAGCGGAGGACCCTGCTTTACTTTCGCCAAGAAAATTGAGGCCATTCTATGTGAGCTCCCTGCTCTCCCACTCTCTTCCTGATCCTTCTCAGCGCCTCAAGTCTCTCCCCCTGCCAGGCTAGCTACATACCCAGCTGTCAGAGTGATTTTCCTTCACCACAGATGTGACTGTGTGATTCTCCTACTCAGTCAATGCCAGTGGTTCTTGTATAAGATAGAAGCTTGTCTGGTTAGCTCTGCAAAGCCCTGACACTGGCCCCCATCTATCTTTGCAGCCTCATTGTCCATTCCTCCTTGTCCCATACTCTGTGATCCCGCCAAACTGACCTCTTCCTGCTCCTCCCACATGACATGTCTTCTCCCATCTCCAAGCCTTTGCACTGGCCATGCCGCATGCTTAAAGTGCACTCCCTCCTTACTGATGCTTCATACAATCCCTGACTCTTGGACCATCTTCTATACTCAGTTTTCCTGATACCCACCAGCCGCTCTGTGTTGAACTACTTTGTACGTATTCACTTATACATATTCATACAGAACATATGTCCTGGTTGTCTCCCCCAGCGCAGTGTAAGTACCTGGAGAGCAGGGGATGTTTCAGTTATCCCCGGGCCTAGCACAAAGTAGGCCCTTAATAGATACACACACATGCTGGTTCCCCCCACCCATATACATGTGCCACACAGTTCCTGTCCCTAAGGGATATGTTCTGTTGGGAGGACAACCCAGCCAGAAGATGCCACACAGACACCAGACTGGACTTCCAACTTTTTGGAGGACCCAGGTTCCAGCAGGCCTGCAGCTAGCTCCCCTAGGGACCCAAGAAGCATGGGAGGATCTCAGCATCTGGGGCCCCCAGCACAGCCCCAGGTCTGGGGTGGAACTCTGGGAGAGTGGGTCAGGGCCAGATCTTGTAGGACTCGGGAAGAGCAGGGCAGGGGTCCAGCACCTGGAGGGAGCAAGGCCAGGGCCAGGGTCTGGTTCTAGGGAAGGGCAGGGCAGGGGCCCAACACCTGGAGGGAGCAAGGCCAGGGCCAGGGTCTGGTTCTAGGGAAGGGCAGGGCAGGGGCCCAGCACCTGGAGGGAGCAAGGCCAAGGCCAGGGTCTGGTTCTAGGGAAGGGCAGGGCAGGGGCCCAGCACCTGGAGGGAGCAAGGCCAGGGCCAGGGTCTGGTTCTAGGGAAGGGCAGGGCAGGGGCCTACCTTGTAGTACTTGCCGTAGATATCTGACACCATCATGATGATGGGGAAGCCCATGAAGGTAACCAGGGAGAGCTGCCAAGAGAGGCTGAACATGAAGACAACGACGCCGGTGACCTTGACTATATTTCGGAGAAAGATGTTGATGTTCTGGGAGACGAGATCACTGACCATGGTGGTGTCCGAGGTTAGGCGGGAGATGAGGTCCCCTGGAACACAGGCAGCTCAGCTCTGCACGGTGGCCAAGTGAGAGGGACAGTGGGAAAGGGAGGGGAGGGGACACTAAGGGGCTTCCTCAGCCAGACTGTCTCACCCACCCACAATCTTCACGGTCCAGGAGGCCTTGGGTGGTGACGCCCCACCCCATGCCACAGCAGGCTTCCCCACAGCCTTAGGAGACAAGAAAAGCATTTGCTAAGTGCCTACTATGTGCCAGGTGCCGTGATGGCTGCTGGAGATGCCAGGACAAGAATAAAATCATCCCTGCCCTCAAGGGGCTTCCAGCCTACTGGGAGAAACTGATCTTTCTGAGCTGGAGCACCCAACGTGCCCAGGGGGCCAAAGGGAGACAACAGGCGGCTCTACAGACAGAGGCTCTACACCCTCAAATGCTGCCTCCATCCTTCTTGTCTCCCTTGCCTTTCTCCAGAGGAGATGAGAACATCTGCTAAGCATTCCTACCTTCTCTCCTCTCCCACGCCCCTCCAAGGAGCTGACCACTGCCACTGAGATGCAGATGCCTCCCCCAGAGACAGTCAGATATGGTGGAGGGAGGTGGCGAAGGGCCCCGCCTTGGGAAATGCTCCACTGTCCACTATGGCAGGGATTCTTAACCTTCTTTGTGCCCTGGACACTTTGGGAAGTCTGGGAAAGCTCATGGACTCAGAATCAGGTTTTTTAACGCATAAAATAAAATGCACAGGATTACAAAGGAAAGCAATTATATTGAAATTCAGTTCATCAAAACATTGTTAAAAACAAGTTCCTGAGCCCCAGGTTAAGAACTCCTAATCAGGGGGACCCCTTGGCTAAGCCCTTGCACCTGACCCACCAGGCACTGTTTCTGACACTGCAAATGCTTCCTGTCCAAGGCTTGGAAGAGAGGGCAGACGCTGTACTAGCCATCCCTCTCCCAGGGGAAGGAAGAAATACGGCAATGTCCTTTCCTGCCCATTCCTTTTGCCTGCACTGCCGCCCTCTCAAGCCAAGCGGAGATGCCTGGGGCTTGGGGTTCTCGAGGACAAAGCCTGTTTTACTGGGAGTGGCCCTCTGCTACTCGCCCGCAAAGACACATCCTACCCAATGTGGTCTCCACACACTCCTTGGACAGTATAGGGAGGAGCCCAACATCCTGGCCTGGCCCTGGTCCCCAAGAATGACCACACAGAGGCATGGCCAGAAGCCCAAAGTTACCCTAACTTAGGCCTAAGGTTGTGACCAAAAACCTCAGCACGCAGGCCAGACCTCTAAGGACAGACAGTGGCCAGGACAGAACAGACCCGCTGGCTTCGTTTGCTTTCATACATCCCTCATCCCGGGGAACCAAGAAGATAAGACTGGGTATAGCCAAGGAAAGGGCCTAGAGACCCGGGGGGAGGGTCCTTTCTTCATCCACTCATCCATCTTCACTCATTCATTTATTCATTCATTCCTGGTCATTCATTCATTCCCTCAGTCCTCCTCATTCATTCCTTCAGTCCTCAGTCTTTCATTCCTCAGTCTTCCTCATTCCTTCATTCCCTCAGTCCTCCTCATTCATTCCTTCAGTCCTCAGTCTTTCATTCCTCAGTCTTCCTCATTCCTTCATTTTCTCAGTCCTCCTCATTCATTCCCTCAGTCCTCCTCATTCATTCCTTCAGTCCTCCTCATTCATTCCTTCAGTCCTCATTCCCTCAGTCTTCCTCATTCCTTCATTCCCTCAGTCCTCATTCATTCATTCCTTCACACCCCTCCCCCTCCCCATTCATTCATTACATAAATATTGTTTGTGTGACTAGCATATGGCACTCCCGACAGGCTCCAGGCCCAAAAAAGGAGTCAAGGGCCCTGGGGGCACCAACCTGTCCGGTTCTCGTCAAAGAAGCTCGTCTCCTGTAACACCAGGGAGCGGAAGAGGCAGTTACGGAGGCGGATGTTGAGTCTGGCAAAGATGAGTGAAAAAATGCCGCCCCGAATACCTGCGGCAAATGAGCTAATTGCAGATGAGAGATGTTAAAGGAAAAATGTCCATCCAGCACCGAGTTTCAGCAAACCCCGATGACACAGGGGAGTGGGGCCAGGCTAGTGCTCCCCCACCCCACTCCCCACAGGCAGGGTTGGGAGACCTCCTCGGGCTAAGGAGGCCTGGGCACTGTCCTCCCCAAACTTGGCACTCCCTCCAACCTTCTTGACTCTCTTGGGTTGCCCACCTCCCCTAAGAAACTCTCCGACTGAGTTTTCTAGTCTGTCCACCCAAATCACAGATGCAGAAGGATCTTGGAGAACCCTAGTCCAAACTGCTCATATTATAGATGAGAGGGGAATGATCTGCCCCAGATCATGCAGGCAATGAGTGGCTGGGCTGGGGCTGGAACCTGAGTCCTCTGACTTGAAGTCCAGGATTCCATAGTTTTGGAAGAACCTACGGGAAGCTGGAGGGATCACGAGATCATAGTCTGAAAGGACCTCAGACAGAGACCATTTGGTCTAATGTACTCATGTTTACAAATAAGAAAACTGAGGCTCAGAGAGAAGGGACCTGCCCAAAGTCACACACCTGTGGGAAGGAGCAGAGATAGACGTTGAACCTGGGGCCTCTGGCTCCAAAGCCAGGACTCTTTCCACAACCTCAGGACCGCAAGACTATTATCCCATAGGAAATTTTCTATGAAAACGGGCCTAGTCTGGGGAGCCAGTCCAGACTTGCTCTGATGCCAGCACCAAAGGCAGACACAGGTCATGCCCCATCCTTCCTTCAATCCCTTAGAACAAGACACATTGGCTACTTCCAGCAGGGGACAGGAAAGAGTATGGCCTAGACCTTGTGGGCTGGGTCCAGCCTCATGCTAGACCATTAATTCTGGACACAAGTATTTTGAGTTGGGAATAGTTTCTGCCTAGCCCATTTAATAAGCCATTTCTAAAGACTTCACTAAGGCTAACCAGAAAGTTAGCCTTTTTTTAGAAACGAGTCTAAGTCAGAGATTCTTAACCTTTTTGGAGTCCTGGACCTCTCTGCCAGTCTGGGGAAGTCTATGGGCCCCTTCTCAGAATAAGATTTTTAAATATATAGGGTTAAAAAAAGAAAGCCCTTAAATTGAAATACAGTTATCAAAATATTTTTTAAAAACAAGCTCATGAAAGCTAGGTTCAGAAACCCCGGTCTGAGCCTCGAGCTGTGGTGGATTTAATCCAATCCAATGGAAATCTCATTCACTGATTCTGTTCCTCCCCTCTCTCTCCCTCATCCAGGAGGGACCCACTTTAAAGTCACAGGTTAGATCTTTAAGCAGGTTCTCTCCATCTGACCCCACGTTTGGGCAATAGAGAACCCATCAAAGGGTTTCCTGGTCAAGGAGGTCCTACTCTTTCCATCCTAAAAACGAGAAGACCACAGGCTCTGGGGAGTGGGGTGGGGTGGGAGGGGGAGCCAGCTACCTGCCAAGAGCGAGGATGCACAGGATGACCACGGCCTTGGAGAACTGGTCCATGCTCTTCTGGATGACAATGCCATCGATGGCCCGGCCAGTGTAGTAGGGAAGGAATGTTTCTCCTGCCAGGAAAGGGGGATGGTCAGACAGGCCCAGCCTCCCCATGGTGAACAGGGTAGAAGGGCATTCGAACCAGCCAACAAGTGGCCTCTGTCATGCTTGTTCTCCCAGGACAGAGGATGCTTATTTTTTTTCCTATCATCTAGACCTTCAATTTCATTAGTATAAGATAGGATACAACTTAATGTAGCAGACAGGGCCCTGGACTTGGGACTAGGAAGATCTGGGTTCAAATCCCACCTCAGACTCTGTGAAAGTCACTTGACCTGTGTCTGCCTCAGTTTCCTAATCTGTAAAATGAAGGAGTTGGACTCAATGACTTCTATGTCCTCTCAGATCCTGGGAACTCCCAGTGAGGAAGTTCCCTCTACCAAAATAGGTTAGCATCTGTTCTGGGGAAGGGAAGGGAATAAGAATGAATTAAGTGCCCACTATGAGCTGGGCACTGTGCTAAGTGCTTCATAGACAGTACATCAAATTCCACAACTTTGACAGGGGAGCCCTGAGAGGCTCACACAGCCAGTCCTGACTCTGGCACTGGCTCTCTGCCTATTGCAGAGTCCTCTAGTGGGGGCCAAGGTCCTGAAGGCTGAAGCCAGGGAGCACTGTGGCTAAGGTTCCACACAGCTCCATCCTGGCCCTTCTTCCAGCACCCAAGCGCTCAGTCTGCATGGCATTAATTGTTCCTGGTATATCCAGCAAACTCATGTTTACCTCATAGGCAAGAATCAGGTATTCAGAAGACTCGACTTTCCCTGAGAGGAGGGGATGGCCCTCTTACTCCCACCAGCTAGGGATTACCAGCTATTTCCTGAACTCAACACCTCCAAGCATTTGCAGATGCCATCCACCACGCCTGGAATAAACTCTTCACTCTACCACTCAGAAGCCTTTAAGGCCCAGCTCAAGTGCCCTCTCCCCTGGTAAGCCTTCCCTGACTGTTAATGTTGTTAATGTTTCTTCTCTGTTTACAATGTAGTATACATAAGTATAAAGGAAGATCTTGAGGACAGAGCTTAGGTTCTACTTATGGGTCTGTGTCTCTGGTGCTTAGCTGACTACATGGCTTACAGTAGACATTTGATAACATTTTGGTGAACTGAGTCACATTCAACTGAGAATTATTAACAACCTGAATTTCCGGACTGTTGAATGACTGCAAAGCAACTTTTCTCCCCACATGATCTTGTGTTTCAGGTAGTAAGAAGAATATTATCCACACTTTACAGATGAGGCAATGCAGGGCTCAGAAGCAAATCCAAACAGCTGGTAAGTGGCAGGAGCCAGGACTTGAATCTGGTGCATTTACTTTAAAAGGATCGACAGCACACAGTGAAACACACTGAATGCTAAATGTCATACTGACTAGGGCCCAGTTTGTCCTTGCTACTGAGGATTCCCTACTGGTCCAGGACGGGAGTATCTTAGGCAGGCAAGGATGCTGGCCTCATCTTATGTGAGCCTCAGTCGTCACCACAGGAGTCTGGGCTGCACCTATCCTGATTCCACACCAATCGATCCACGTAGATTTGTTCTGTAAAATTTGGATCCAGTCAAAAGGCCACCCTTAAGAATCTAGAAGGCCACAGGTTCCCCACTCCTGTCTGGCACATAGTAATTAATAAATGCTTAGTGGTCAACTGACATGTCCTGGAAGCTGCTCTCTTGAGTTGTATCAAAGAGATAACGGATATATAAAGTACTGTATAAAGCTTAAAATATATCATAAATGTTAGCTATTATTATTATTGCCAAATATCATAGGAAAAAAGATACGTAGTTAGAAGAGACCTTATAAGGCATTTAGTCTATCCATTTGACAGATGAGGAAACTGAGGCCCATTGGGTTAAATGACTTTCCCAAGACAGGATTTGAGCCCAGGTCCTCTGACTCTGAGCCAATATTCTTTCTACTATGCCATGCTGTCGCCCCATCAACTTGTTTCCTCAGGGGGGTTTTCATTTCCTCTCTGGGTCTCAGTTTCCCCATCTATAAAATAAGTGGCTCCATTACATAGCCTCTGAGGTCCCTTCCTGTTCTGCATTCATGATCCTACATTTGATTTCAATGGGCAGGGAACTTCTAGGTATGGAAACCCCCTGCACACATGCAGGTTGGCAACCCATCTGCAATTCGAGTCCTAGAGAATTGTCTGGAAGTCCTGAGCACTGAAGTGTCTTTCCCAGGGAGATATGGCCAATATTAAGTCTGAGGTAGGATTTGAACCCAGGTCTTCCAGACTCCAAGCCTGATGCTCCAACCAGTCCACCACACATGAATGGGTTTACTTCTTTAACTGGAGATCAGAACATTGGAATTCTGGATAAATGAGGCTTTCTTTTACAGCCAGATCCAAAGCCATCCTCCTGAGTACTTTCTCTGTTGGCGTGAAAGCTCCTCACAGGCAGGCTGTGGGAAAAAAGGCCTGGGGCTGAATCAGCAAGAACTGGTTTCAGACTCCACCTTGGACATTTTTATCAACATGGCAGGTCACTTGACCCCTCATCTGTAAAATGGTTATAATAATACTTGCCTTGCTTACCTCACCAAGTTAGGTTGAAAGTTCTAGCTTTGGGAGGAATGTTGTAGTTAGACTGGAGGTATTTAATGCCAGGCTCACAGTGGGGAGCTGATTATGGGCTCTGAGCAGAGAGGGTGATATGGTCACACAGCAAGGGGTATGTATGAAATCAATCAACAGGACTAAATTAAGCACCTGCTATGAATCAATTAGAATGTATATTCCCTAAGGGCAGGAACTATGCTTTTCTTTTATCCCCAGAGCTTAACACAGTGCCTGGCACATAAGTACTTAGTAAATGCTTGGATCTAAAGACAAAATAAGAAAAAGTCTCTGTCCTCAGAGAACCTGGGTTTGAATCCAGTATGTCAGCACTTATTAGCTGTGTGACCATGGGAAAGACATTGGAACAAAAGCTCAGTTTCTTCATTAGAGGGCAGTTGTGAGAAGCTCAGATAACATGTAAAAGTACTTTGCAAATCTTAAAGACTATAGAAATGTCAGCTACTATTTATTCTTTCCTTTGTCTTGTGCCCCTTCTCCTTCCTCCCCCCACAGTGCCTAGGACAGGGCTCTGTCCTCAGAGGGGTGCTGGCTGGCTGGATGTCTTGTATTCTCCATGAGAGGTTCTAGCTGGGGAGGGGGCACTGGCAGCAAAGACATCACAACCAAGGCACCTCTCCGGGGTGACATTTCCCCCAGGGGCCCTCAACTCGAAGGGTCTGCTTCCTTGGGCTGGCATCATGCCTACCCAGGCCAAGCACCTCAAGGTGGCCAGGCCAGCTCCCAGCTTCAGGGCTTGGAGGCTTTCTCCTGGTCACTGCTGCCCTCTGCTGGTACTCTGGCCAGGCAATCACCAGCCTCCTCACAAAGGGAAAGTGACTTAGAATCATGGGGTCATAGATTGCAGCTGAGAGTACACTTAGAGAAGAAAACTGAGTCCCAGAGAGTTCAGTAACTTGCCTAAAGTCACACCTCCCTCATAAATGGCCATAACAAAATCCTGTGCTGAAAGCCCCGGCTTCCTGCATGGACCTGTGTGTCTCCCGCCTGGTCTGTGATGGAGGCTGGAAATGGGCAGACAGTGAACCTCCTTCAAATGAGTGGGCACATGCTGAGGGACGGACAGAGGTAAGCTTTTGTCATCAGCAGACCTACCCTCTAATTACGCTTTCTTTAGACTTTAAAAAAAAAAAAGGAAAAAAAAAGAAAGCTACCAGACGGCCAGCAAGGTGGAGATGGTTCCTTCTGGCTAGCTTTTTGTTTTTGGCCCAGACCTCCGAGTTCATCAATGGGACTGCTGGTGTGGAAACGCCATCCACCCATGTAAACAGACAAGTGCTCTATAATTTAGTCTGAGGAATTAGTTGCTTGGGGGCACGAAGAGGCCAAATGACTTGTTCATGAATGAAATAAATGAAAAAAAAAGTATTAAGCACTTACTGAATGCCAGGCACTGCACTAGGTCCAGAATCACCCAGCTAGTATAGATTAAGGGCAGGACTTTGAATCCAGCTCTTACTGTCTGGGTGTCCCCTTGGGCAAGTCACTTAGTCTCTCTGAACCTCAGTTTACTCATCTATAAAATAAGGGGGTTGGGCTCAATGGTCTCTAAGGTGCTTTGGCACTCTACACCTATGATCGCGATATGACATGAAGCCCGGACTTCTGTCTACTGTGCCACGTTGTCTGAATAAGAATATGAATAAGGGCGAGCTGTCAACAAGAATGGGAATTCCTTCTTTCATATGACGCTTCAGAAGGCACCTTAGAGCCCTGCAGGTCTGCCATTAAAAATATTAAAAATGGTGACCTGTGAGGACATAAGAAAGTCAGGTTACCAGAGCAGTCTGATTGACAGGCCCCCGGATAAATCAGTAAAGGTGGCTGGATTGGGAAGCCGAGGTCCTGGGTTCAAATCCCGACTCTGCTCCTTCCTCCCTATGTGACCTTAGACAAGTCTCTTAAGTTCTCTGGGCCTCAGTGACCTTACCTGCCAAGTGAGAAGGCTTGTTCTGATGGCCCCCGAGGAGCCTTGCAGCTTGGAATCTAAGACCCCAGCAATGCCTGCTACATTAGAGCATTCTCTAGAGCGCAGCAGAGTCTAGTTTAGGGAATCCTGTGTTACGGTCACCTTGGGAGACCTGGTGGACGCTTCTCAGGATCGTACTTTTGAATGCATAAAATAAATGCGCAAGATGACAAAGGAAGCCAATTATACTGAAATACAGTTATCAGAATACCTACAAAAAACCCAACTAATTTTTCTGTTGTTATTTGTTCAGTCATATCCGACTCTTGGTTACCCCATTTGCAGTTTGCTTGGCAAAGACACTGGAGTGGTTTGCCATTTCCTTCTCCAGCTCATTTTTACAGATGAGGAAACTGAGGCAAACAGGGTGAAGTGACCTGCCCAGGGTCACACAGCTAGTAAATGTCTGAGGCTGGATTTGAACTCAAGTCTTCCTGACTCCACTCAT